TTTTTTTTTTAACGAAAACTATGTGCATAGTGTTGGAACCAAAGAAAATCAAAATATTACAGGAAGAGAAAACATCAGTTGATTCAATAGTTGTTTACATAGTCCTACTAACCTGGAAAGCATCAAATGAAGAAGTAGCAGCCACATTAAAACATAACAAGTTCCACTGAGCTCCAGGGTTAAAACCACGTGTAATTAACGTTCAAGTCACGTTTATCGTTGTTTAGGTTCCATTACTGATAGCTGGCCATGGAGCATATCTGTCTTTTTACACTAGCATCATAACCCTCTATTTTCCACGCTTGGTGTAGCGAAGGTTTCTCTTTCTTTGAGAAGACATGAACGGAGCAAGAACCCACGAAGGTGCTGACAAATAGCTTGACATGAATAATTATCAGCAACAGCACGTGCATGTGGAATAATTTGCAATGAAAATTCGTAACCAAGTCAAGTTTCGCGCCAAAAATTTCATTTCGTATACGTTTGTAATAACAGTATTAATCCATACAGCCAATAAAAATCAAGGGACTTTAAATCAGCCATTGGTCATAATGAAAGCACCGTATTGTGGTTTATTTCTTTACGGTTCTCCTCAATCCAATCCAATGAGCCTTGAAGCAGCTTAAAAGAACCCAGAGGAAAACCAAGGGTGGCTTGGGAGGCATAAACCATATGACTTTGAAACAGTTGGTTGCCATGATAATTTTAAACGTGAAATGACAACAAAGGAATGAAACATTTCTCAGTCGATTCAGTAGGTTTATGTAGAATTGGTGGTGGTGGTGGAGGTGGTATAGGGTGAGGGGAATCAGGATGATAAAGGGGTAGGGGTGGCTTGTGAAACAAGCGGTTTTTTAAGCAAATGGAAGATTTCCGGTTCTTTAATTTCTAGCCAATTAGAACAAAACTTCAGCAAAGCTAAAAGAGGGAAATGGACAGGAAACCTGACAAAGTTCTTTGTTTTATGTTTTTGTTTCCTATTTTGGTGGTTGACCCTGCGCAAAACCTGGGAAAATACAAAAGGTGGTTATGTGTGTTCATACAACTAACCAATAGAAGAATTGCGATTATGTAATTCATGCACAGTCAATGAGCATAAAAAATGATGTGCAGGGTCAAGGACCTTCTAACATAAACCGTAGCCTGTTTGTCTGTACTTCTGTGATGTTTACCGGCCTTCATAACCATTTCCCTCTATTGACTATGACTTCAGCGAACAGTCGGATGACGTAAAGCGTTGATATGACTTCAGTGTAAGATATTTTTTCTCACTTTTTAATCTATCGTCACACATTCATCAAGAGCTAACAACAGTGACAATGATCGATAAACTATACAGAAAGGATATCATATCATGTTTTTAACCTTATTATTGATAATGGATGCATTGCTGTTGAACTGAACTGCAAGGCTTTTCGAACATAAACACG